AGCTATAAACATTTAACAACATAGACAGCAACCGCTTTTAGAATTATCAAACAAAACATTAGAAAATACATATAATAGTTATTGAATTTCTTACCTAAATGGGGTTTTAAAAGGTTTACAGAAGAACCCTAAAATTGCTAGGGGTTATTGTAAAAACTTAAACATATATTAACTAAAAGTTATTTTAACTAAATATTAACTATAATATATAAATAAATATGATTCATAGCTTATTGTTTTCTACTGTTTCTTGTTTTCAATTGTTTGTGATACTACAACCTACATTGACATGATTAAATTAAGTTTATATGAAGCCAAATAAAATAATATAAGCTTATTGAAAACAATTTCTAACCCATTCCTCTCCTTTCAGCTCCGAGGTGGACGGCAAGCCTCCAGGTGTGATGGTGCCCATTCCGCAGTACCCATTGTACTCGGCTACCATCTCCGAGTACGGCATGACCAAGGTGGACTACTACCTGGAGGAGGAGACCGGCTGGAGTCTGGGCAGGAAGGAGCTGCAGCGTTCCTTCGACGAGGCCAAGAAGACTTGCAATCCGCGCGCCCTGGTCGTGATCAATCCGGGCAATCCCACCGGACAGGTGCTCACCCGCGAGAACATCGAGGAGATCATCAAGTTCGCGCACGACAACAAGGTCCTGCTGCTGGCCGATGAGGTGTACCAGGACAATGTGTACGACAAGAACTCCAAGTTCTGGTCGTTCAAGAAGGTGGCCTACGAGATGGGCGAACCCTACCGCAGCCAGGAGATGGTCAGTTTCCTGTCCACCTCGAAGGGTTACCTGGGCGAGTGCGGCATCCGTGGTGGCTACATGGAGGTGCTCAATCTGGATCCCAAGGTCAAGGCCATGCTGACCAAGTCGATAACGGCGGCGCTCTGCAGCACCACCGCCGGCCAGGTGGCCGTGAGTGCCCTGGTCAATCCGCCACAGCCGGGAGAGCCCTCCTACGAGCTGTTCAAGCAGGAGCGTGACGAAATCTTGGCCGCCCTGAAAGAGCGGGCCGAGCTCGTCCACAAGACGCTCAGCAGCTTCGAGGGCTACAAGGTGAATCCCGTGCAGGGCGCCATGTATGTCTTCCCCCAGATCGAGATCCCGCCCAAGGCCGTCGAGGCCGCCAAGGCCAAGGGCATGGCCCCCGACGTTTTCTACGCATTTGAGCTGCTCGAGACGAGCGGTGAGTGTTCTTTGCTATAAGTGGGTTTCCTCTTTATATAATCTCTGCTTTTCCTTAGGCATTTGCATTGTTCCTGGCAGCGGATTTGGCCAAAAGCCCGGCACCTGGCATTTCCGCAGCACCATCCTCCCGCAAACGGACAAGCTGAAGCTGATGATGGAGAAGTTCCGCGTGTTCCACTCCGATTTCATGAAGAAGTACAAGTAGACTCGGTAATCAACCGCTGTCCACTTCCTGCGCCACGCCCCCCCGTCCCCCCACCATCCCTGTGTTAAAAGTGTCGATCCTCCAGCTTAGGATTAAAATATGAAATACCATACTTGTTTTTTTTTTCTCTCTTTGTTAATGTGTCATAACGAAACTCTACTATACTCTTCTTTATATATTAAATATATATAAAAATGTGTGAAATTCTGACATCCCTCTGATTTGTACACCCATACCGCGCAGGTTTCCAGTTAGCAATTAACCCAATTACCCATGTGTAGTCCTTGATTCGTTTTTGAATTGAATTGAATTCTCCTGGCGGAGAAGTGACAATAATTTTTGTTAGAGCCAAAAGTTGTTTATTACTTGTTGGTCGGCGCAAAATTAAAAATTCTGATATTGTTCTAGACGAATGTTATTTGCATTGTGTATACGTATACCTACATATTTATCCACATATATATAGCCCTGCATGTGCTTATCCCGAATCGATCATGAAAACATGCGATGTGTGTGCGTTCAAGTCATTACTAATTGTTATAGAAAAGAATCAAAAAGAAATATGAAAATAAATCTTATTGTTAAACAAGCCTTGGACCGTTTTCAACATTGTTTGGGAGGATTACTTAAGGGTTTTTGACCCAAAAGCAACTACTTTTTTATGGTTTTTTTTAATATATCGAATGATATTTTAAGATAACATGATTTGGTACATTTTAGAATCTAAAATGTAGTTACAAGTTCGTATTAGATTAAGTTTTTGTTAAGATAAAATAACAACTCTCTTATTGACACCTATCTGGTGGACATGATAACTGGTGACAGGATCATCAGAAAATTATAATGCTAATTTGTTGTTTGAGAAAAAAATCGGGGAAAAAAATTTGGCAAGGATTTTACAAAAGTAATTGACTAGAATTTTTGGTTTTTAAATTTTTAAAATTAGTAAATATTAATATAATTGAAAATCCTTCGTTCATGCAGTAGCTTGAGATGCTATATATTTAAAACTATTTTGTACATCGGTTCATAACATTTTAGGTTATTGTGTCCACCGGTTTCCAATTCGTGATTTCAAAGACAATGACTCCTGAATTAGTTTTGGGAATGTAAACTAAGCAACTTTGAGTAATTAAAAAAAAATAAATTGATTTTTTTAGACCCTTTGTATCCCCTTAAGCTGCAAGCTTCAACAGAAAATGTCGGATCCCAACGAAAATAAAGAAACCAGTTGAGGTATTTTGGTTTTAAATTATGTTCAATTTATTGATTTCATTTCACGTCTTAATTACTTGCACTTTCGTCAATCAATCGTATGTATATAGAAACTTCTTACTTATTTTCATCAATTTTCCTTTTGACATTTTGTGTTGCGACAGATTCGAAGAAAAACCAATGGATAAAGAATGGGGATCCGCGGATGCGTGTAGAATAGCATTTACCTTCAACTTTCTCTCTCCGGATGCCGCACTCTTTGTGTGTTGTAGTGGTTGCAATAATCGTTTTTGTTTTTATGTTTTTAATTAAAATCTACCAAAGTCTTAAAGCCTAAATACCAATATGTACCGTAGTTGTACTGTGGCTATACTTGCGATCCGTCCAGATCGGAGATGGCTGGGTTGTGTGGTGGTCTTTTGTGGAGTTGCTCGTTCACTTTTCGTTTTTTGGGGAGGGGGGATAGATATAGGACGAATTTTTTTTTTTGAGTCAAACTAAGGAATCTGTGGACCTTTCTTTGTGGGCAAAAAAACAGACACATTTGGCCCCAACGCTGTGGCTATGTTATATATCTCTATATATATATATATATATATATATATCTGTGTGTAGGTGTGTAGTCCGGATTGGGGCTGCTCCTAAAGATCCTCATCTAATGGCGATCCCTGGAGTCAGAGCGGCTGCGACGATCCCGCGAGAAGCTGCGGCTGCGTGTCCTGGATCGGCGGGGTGAGCGTGATCTGCAAAGAAATGGGTGGCGTTGGGGAAAGCATATTGGGCACGACACACAGACAGGGTATAGAGAGAGAGAGAGAGAGAGAGAAAGAGGAGAGAAAGAGAGAAAATACAAATTAAATAGATTTTGCACTAACAAGTAACTTAACTAGACGTGTAGTAAGATAACAATTCCTTAAGATACGTAAAGTTGATAGAGTGGTCTCGATCAAACAACACACAACTTGGGCTGATGGATCTGGTGGATCGGATACGGATCGGAGAGCTGATTTTGGAGCTTTAATTTGAGCTGAGCTGAGCGGAGCGGAGCTGAGAGCGGAGAGCTGGCTGTATTCTGGTAATTTTTTTTTTTTTGGTGGCTGAAGGTGCTTGAAGGTGGTGGAGATATAGCTGATATATTTTTTGTTTCAGTTTCTTTTTTTTTTTTTTGGCCCCATTTTACGAAAGCGTTGGTGTGACATTTACATAAAGTAATTGGTGGTGGTTGGTTGGATTGGTTGGCTGATTGGTTTGTTGGTAGGTTGCTTAGTTGGTTGATGAGCAGAGCAGACTGAGAAGACTGTTGTTGTAGTTGTTGTTGAATTGTAGTAGTAGTAGTAGGTTCTTGTTGTTGAATTGTTGTAGTTTGGGCTGTTGATACGATACGATTCTGAGCTGATTGACTGTGACTAGGGTGGCTGTGTTGTGTTTAATTTTTTTTTTTTTTTTGGTGTGTGTTGTTGAGGTGGAGATATATATTGGTGAATCATTCTATTCTGTTGCAGCAGCCGAAGAACGTAGGTCGTATGAAGAAGCAGTTGGTGGGGAAGCATCAGTTAGCAGCAAGAGAGGATCAGGTGGTGGTTGTGGTTTGGTGGTGGTGGCGGTGCTGCTCCTACCATCCGCGCTGTGGAGAGGCGAGCTTGAAGAAGACCCTGCCCTGCTGATGCTGCTGGTGTGCTTGGTCGATTGATCGATTGGTGGTGGGGTCGTTTGGTTGGTTAACTTTTGGTTGGTCTGACTTTGAGTTCGGGTTGATCGGATCAATGCATAAACACAGTAAACACGGTATATATACACAAAGAGCAGACAGTTAGCGCGAACAACATTATCTCAGTAGATGGTTAGAGTACAAGAACGAAAGATAAAAAAACATTAGCAGAAACCATAAATAGAAATATAACAAACGGATTTTGTTAGAGACGTTACGTTTCTCGTTTCGGTTCGAAGGAGAGTGTTGGTTGGTGGCTGCCAAAGGTTTCATACTTGCTGCGATTGAAGGAATTAGCGTGAAGCAGCCTCAATCTTGTTTGATTGCAAGGGAAAGGTGCAACTACTGAGTGGTGGAGCCAACAAAAGATCTACGCAGGGCTTGTCACCCCTTGAGATACTTTTGCTGACTGGCTGCCAGATGTTGTAGTAGAAGTAGTAGAAGCTGTTGTTGTTGCAGTTGGTCTTTGTAGCTGTAGCTTGTTGCTGATGCTGTAGCTGCACTGAAGATGACGGATGATGAGGTGGTGGGTGGTTGGTTGGTTTGTTGGGGACGAAGGAAGCAGGCTGAAGACAACCGCACAACGTGGAGGCGTAGGAAGTTGACTTTCTGAAGCGTTGCTGGACTGGTGAGTGTGTATATATATAAATATATATGCATAGATACATATTGGAGTTAGATTCTTGATGGAGTTGCTCTGTTGCCGCCGATGCTGCCCGGTTCGCTGTGGTTCTTGGTGATTAGTGTGGTTAATGGCAGAGAGTGTGTTGTGTTTGTGGTGTAGTCAGAAGAGGCTGTCAACTAACAGACTAGATATGATGTGAAACTGTTTGCACTGTGGGGCATACGATCACGTTTGTTAACCAAACCAAGACTCTTTTTAAAAATTGGTAGTCTAAGTTACATGAAAAATGTTTGATAAAATTACAAAATTTAACATTTTAGACTACAGAGTACACCATTTCAACTAATTTAATTTAAATTTAAAATCAACGATTAATTTTCTATGCAACAACAGCACTAAACTTTTGATTCTGAATCCTTTTCAGCATATTAATGAAACTTTAATTATACAAAAACAAATGTAAGAACTCTATTCATTCGAAAAAAAAACCATCAAAGTTCCCTCGTCACTAAGTTATTAATAAATGCAATATGAAATGATCGTTTGCCCTGTAGTGGGATGTAGTTGGGTGGCTGTGGGTGTGCTTGGGCTGGTCTTGGGTGCATTATTCTTATAGCTGCGCAGCCGGAGACGTTGCTGATGATGCATTTTCTATATTTTTTGGCCTGGGTCGAGCTGAAGCTGAACAGGTGGTGGTGGAGGGGGTGTAGTGTTGCAGTCGTTCGGTTTTTTTCTGGTTCTCGGTTCTGTGGTCAGCGGAATATATCGAATTTGTTGAATTTCAGACTAGGGCCGCACAACAAATTATTGCATGGTGGTGTGGTTGTGGTGGTGGCTGTTGTTGTTGGTGAAATGTGTGTAATAGGAGGAGCAGGAGCTGCTGTTGTACTAGTTGTTGTTGTTCTTGTAGTAGCTGTTGTTGTTCTTATTGTTGTTGTTGTTGTTCTTGTTGAAGGAAGAGGAGTAGTAGAAGTTCTAGTAGTAGTAGCTGTTGCTGTTCTTTTCTTTGTTGTTCTTTTAATTATTATTATTATTTTTATTGATGTTGTTGTTGTAGTAGTTCTTGTTGTGCTTGTTGTAGTAGAAGAAGAAGACTTTATCCTGCAAAATGATTGTGAGACCACATTAAAATTGGCTCCAAGCGTTCGATTTACTTTGTTTTTACTATGATTTTTTTTTATATTTTGTAAATATATAAAAATATATTATATTTTTTTTGTAATTTTTTTTTTTTTTTTTACTAAAAAACAACAAACAAAACGTTTTCTCTAGGTAAAAGCTATACTCTTTGAACTTGAAACTATGGACCTCGGGGTGCAATATAATGAGCAATGAAATGGGGTAGTAATAATAACTAGATTTCCCATAAAAAAAGACAAGCTAGAAAATCGATTGATTAGCAAAAACAACCAGGACTGTTTGCCAAGGAGGACGCCACTGTGTGGTTGGCGCGCGCCGCGCGGTGCTTTAGGACTGTTTTTACGGACGCCACTGTGTGTGTTTATGTGTGGCTTACAGTGGTGTCCCCACTAAATGGGAGAGTGTGTAATTTGGCTGGCCCCCGCTTTTGTATGTATACGCAAATCGATTTTTCACATGCATACATACACACACACGACACAGATCATCAAATATATATATTATATATATGTATATCTATGTGTTTCTGCATATTTTCTTGCATATAATGGCCAAAATTATGATGTTTCATAATCGAGAGGGGGTTTGGGTTGGGTTGGTTTGGTTTGGATGGGGGATTGTTCATATGTATGTGGAATGCCATTTGCTGTACTCACCTATAGCGACCGCCGCCATCGCCAGCCCGTGTACCGCCTCCAGAGCCGCCTCCGCCGCCGCCACGCCCCTCGCCAGCCCGAGTACCGCCTCCGCCGCCACCGCCGCGACCTTCTCGCGATCGACCAGAGGACATCTCAACGCGGATGCGGGTGCCACAGCAGCGGGTGCCATCCAGGCCGCGGGTTGCGTCCTCAGCATCGCGACGATCCTCGAACTCGACGAAGGCGAAGCCGGGCGGATTGCGGGCCACCCAGACGTTGCGCAAGGGTCCGTATTTGCTGAAGGCGTTCTCAATCTCGTATTTGGAGGCCGAGGAGCCCAGGTTGCCCACGTACACTTTGCAGGCCAAATCCCATTCCCGGTAGCGTGGCATTATGCTCGCTGTGTGTGTGTGTGTGTGTGTGTATATGCTCCTTCTAATATGTAAATCCTTGCCCAATGGCTTTCTCTGTTGGTTTTCCACTTCTTTTCAGGGTTTTCCTGCTGGTTTTAATCGGTTATTCTCGCTTTTTTGCGCAGCAAACACACCCAAAAGCAGGACGAGAAAAAATGTTTGTGGTGAAAAAAAAGATGGCGTGCCTTGCAGTGTTGCAAATGGCTGCGGTGAATTATGGCTTCAATAAACGGTCATGCGGAAAACAGTCAGGTGGCTGACACGGCTATCTGAGCAAAGACACCCACCTGACATTTGAGAGTCAGACAGCCTATCGATGTTATCGTTGTCTTGCCACCTCTATTCTATTATTTAATATAGGCACATTATTATTGCTCTTTGCTTTCGTTTGAAGAAACTTGAATCAAATATTGCCGCACAAGATGGCCAAGAGCCCGGAAAACATAGCGCTGGATCAGCTGGACAAGGACCAAATGAAGACGGTGAGTGGGTTGGGCGTGGAGGTATCATATACCACAAAAGACCGGCTCTGCCAAATGATGCAATGTGGTTTCCATTTAATATCGTTATATTCTTCTGCCTTTCAGTTTTCCGACTTTCTGATGTCCTACAATAAGCTGTCCGAGATGTGCTTCACAGATTGTGTACGCGACTTTACGTCGCGTGATGTCAAGGATTCCGAGGTGAGTCAAAATGAGGCAAACCGCGACCAACTTCAATAACCCATCCATTTTGCAGGAGAAATGCTCGCTAAACTGCATGGAGAAGTACCTGAAGATGAACCAGCGCGTCTCGCAGCGCTTCCAGGAGTTCCAGGTCATCGCCAACGAAAACGCCCTGGCCATGGCCCAAAAGACTGGCAAACTATAGGTGTTTTAGTTGTTATTATCAATCTTAACTAGTTTAGACAACTGAGATGATGCATTTTTCCTGCATTTGTCAAAATAGCTGAGTAAAGAAACGAGTTGACGGTACCCCGACGATTATTATATACTATTCGACTTTATTGCTGATTTGATTGGTGTGATTGATTACGGTCTAGAGATCTTGTTTGAAAAAGACACAAGTGTGGATCATCGGATCATCAGTTGCGGATCAGTTCGAACTGAGTAAAAGGACCTATCTTTTTTTTAGCACTTCAGCCTCATGACATGTTAATGATAGAATCGGGCGCCGCAGCTGCTTACGTGCTAGATGTGCCTATAACTACGTTTAAGTCACGTTAAGACAGAGCCGTAGGCGTAGATGCTCCGCGCCGGATGTGCAGCGGGTACTCCGCTATCCGGTCCCCGGAGCCTGACTACGGCAATCTCTAAACTAGGTCTAATGCATAGAGGCCATCGCCTGTGGCCTTCTACTCAATACTTAGGGCTACACACGGTTCGCCAATGCGTGGTTCTCGTTTTCCGGCTGGGTGCTCAGTCGGCTCAATGACTCGTAGTGGCGGCCTCCGACGGAAAGCCCTCCGCCTCGGTGATCAGGGCGTACTCCAGAATCACGCGGCCCTCCTTGTACCTGGGGGTGGAACAAGGAATTAGTGAGAGTTCTCATTTGATAGGGCGACCAGTCGCAAAAGCAACCGCCCTGTAAACAATTCTTCGCCTCCTAAACACTTAGTTCTTTAACTTTTTAACTAAAACGTTAACCCTTCGGATGATTTAAATTTCTATATTGTAGTTTTCATCAAATGATTCTAACAAATCTTCAACATTTGGTTTTTTCTAACCATCATCAAACACTTCGACTTTTGTTAGGAAACATAATTACGCTTTTCCGCTGTTTTTGTGTGGAATATAACTTTTAAACTTTTCTAATTGATTATATTTTTGCTAAGCAAGATAACTATCATTGGCACCATGCGGTTCACAATGTTTTTTGTATGTCCCTCAATAGGTATAGATATATTCTGTAGTTCCATTAAAAAATACTGGCTGAAATGCATACAAAGCTTGTACGGCTTCTAGACTCTGTTTCCTGCAGATCCCATTATGTTTTTTAAGATCCTTAATAGGGACACGTTACAGATGCAAAGTAGACCAAAATATTGGAGATCATTAGTAAGAGAAGCGGTGCTGCCAAAGATAACTGATTCAATAATGAAGGACAAAGTCCGAATGCAAAAGTAGCTCGAAATATTGGAGATAATTAGTAAGAGAACCGTAGCTGCTGGAGAAAACTGACCAATATGACTAACTATGAGCAACTACTTTAACATCACTAACTGAACCTCTAGATCTGTGATCTGCAAGGACATTTTAAGCTATTGACGATAAAAACGGCGAACGACAAATTCTAATCTGATGCCTGAACTTCTAAAATCCCTGTCCTCGAATTTCCCGCCTGCTTTTACCCACTTTTGGGACTCCTCGGTGGCGAACTCGTACATCCAGCCCAGTTTGGCGCCACAGTTCTTGCACATGACGTCGCGCACCATGTGGCGTCCCGTGAGCATGACCCGTTCCTGGATGTTGCTGAAGGTCAGGTTGACCACTCGCTTGAACAGATAGGCGCGTCCTGTGGAGATGGCAAGGTGTTAATGTTGCATAATCAGAGTTGGGGTGGTGGACACACCTGTTGCGCCCGTGAATCGGGTGCTGATCAGTTGGCTGCGGTTGGTCAGGTTCGTGTGGCACTGGGCGCAATTGAAGAGTTTCAGGCCGCCAAGGTGTTCCAGAAATATGCGTCCCATAGTGCCTCCTCTCTCTCTCTCTCTCGCTCTTCTAGTCTCGCCCCGTCTCACTCGCTCTCTCTGGTGCGTGCGTTTGCGTGTGTGTGTGTGTGTGTGCTGGTGTTCCTTTGTTCCTATTAAATGCGGGGAATAATACGGGTATTACTCAGATTACTTCCTGGCCTTGTAATACTCCTTATCAATATCTGCGATGCGCTTTTGTTTGGAACTCCATCACTAATTGCGTCCCACTTGCACAACCCAGGAATGACAACAACAACGCAGTACCTTACTCAGCTGTTTGGTGTTGTTTCCACCAGGAGAACCCTCGTCACGGGTTCACGGGCACTTTCCCTAGGCTCCTGCGCACTTGCAATCGGATATAGGCTGGATATATATCCACGATTTGGGTCTAGAACAGAGCTAATGCGACGCTTGCACAAAAAAACAACAAAACACTGTGGAATGCTTTCTAGGGTTGTCGCCGTGTTCTGCGCTATCGATGCAAGACTATCGAAAGTGAGTGGGTCCAGGGATGGCGCATAGGACACTTGCAATTAAGAATTAATTAAATTGCTTTATATGCTATCTATTTTGCTTAATTACATTTAAATCATCTTGTTATTTATTTACTTATTTAATTTGTAATTTATTCTTTTAATTGGTTGTTTTGCTACAAACTGTTTGCTTCCTAAAACATAAATTTTTTAGTTATGACATTATTTGATTTCTGTAAAAATATCGAAACATTTAAAATACATATTCTTAACAGAAAAACAATCCAAATAGGTACCCGCGATTTAATAGTTTTCAAATGATTTGCCCGCGACTGTTCAACTATCGATAACACATTTGAGCCAGCCCTGGTCAGCCCAGCTGTGCGCTACACGTGATAGTTGTTATTGTTGTTGTTGCTGTTGCGTGTGTCCGAATTGCCTTTCAAAAGTCAAATCAAAATAACAAAATTCGAAAAACCATGTGTATACCTTTATAAACTCACCCCAGGACCCGAAAAGTACATCCCGTTTTTGGACACCGCTGACATTATGGCTGGCCCGCCGGCGAAGGGCATGTAAATATTGAAAAACCACCGGAACGAAGAGAAGAACACAACACAACCCCCTAGAAGATTGAGAAATCCCCAGCCGGACAGCAATGCAATCCCTGCGCAGCTGCCCGGCCCGTGGCCTTATCCTCTCCAGGGCCATTCGCGATCAGCGCAGCCTGCGGATGAGTTGGCCACGGAAAAGCGGCACAGCCGGAGGAGCCGGTGGAGCAGCACCCAGTGGCGGGACCACCACCACCACCACCGTTGGCCTTGGAGCGCTCCAGAAGCTGCGGGAATGGCATGCGAACGCCTTCAGCAGCCGTTTCCTGCTCTTCACCAACGTGGGCATCTCCCTGACTCTCAGCTGTGTGGGCGACATCCTCGAACAGCATCTGGAGATCTATTGCGGCGAAATCGAACGCTTCGAGTCCACCCGGACCGCCCACATGGCAACCAGCGGTGTGACGGTCGGCGTGATCTGTCACTATTGGTACAAGATGCTGGACAAACGACTACCCGGTCGCAGTATGCGCGTGGTGGCGAAGAAGATCGTGCTCGACCAGCTGATCTGCTCGCCCATCTACATTACGGCCTTCTTCGTCACCCTGGGCCTGCTGGAGCGGAAGGACAAGCACGAAGTGTGGGAGGAGATCAAGGAGAAGGCCTGGAAGCTGTACGCTGCCGAATGGACGGTGTGGCCGGTGGCGCAGTTTGTGAACTTCTATTGGATCCCCACCCATTACCGCATCTTCTACGACAACATCATCAGTCTGGGCTACGACGTGCTGACCTCGAAGGTCAAGCACAAACAGTCGCATTCGCACCTCAAGAAGGTTCCCTAACCCTGCGCCAGCCTCTGCCTCTCCTCCTTTCCTTGTAACTATTTATTATCAAAGCGAAAACCTTGTAAATACAGACGAGACCGTGTACAGAGACCAAGCAAGTGTGCGTTATGTTATTCTTGCGGTTACATTACATATTGGCTTTCGGTTGGAATTTTGATTACTGGCAACCTGTTGAAAGTCTTGACCACAACTGACCAACAAGTAATGATGATCTTGAGCGAGGAAGAAACTCAGAAAAGGAAGCCCGTGCCGATGACGCACATCTAGCTGATCGGAGGTGATAAGATTCCCTCTAGCAACAGTCGGGCTAACAAACAGGCGATGCGGTGTGATGCGATGATATTGGAGGTGCTGCCAAGCCTACCTTCTCAGTGGTTTCCACCTGATAAGCTTTGCCTAGCAGCCGCCTTAAAAATAATTTACAGAAATAATAACCATTGCAATGATAAGGGGCTAGGGAACGCATCATTAGAAAATCTATAGCTATAAATATAGATGGACACGTGAGGGTTTCTATGCTATAACTGAACTCACGAATTTCTAATTCTGCTGATTTGACTTTCAAAGATTCTAAGTGAAATTAATTAGAGGTGCTTCGAGGAGGTAAAAGATTACACATGGCGAAAAAATTTTCAAATATCAAATAAATAATGAAAAAGCTTTTATAGTTTGTTTGTTATTTATTATTTAGTATCCTAATAAATTTCTGTGCGCTGGATAATATTATCTTATAATTTTTTTTTTATGGCTACTACATCAAAAACAATCTTATCAAGTCCTAAAAATATTTTGGCAACACGTCATCCAGTCTCCAGCACCTTCGTATGCACGACTATCTATCTATGTACTATAAAGCGTGTTTCTTCCTCATATCCATTTATGAAATGAGCAGCTGCCAGACGTTATCTGGTTGAGTTCGCTTTTTATTTCAAGAGCGTTTAATTAGAATCGTGCTTGACATTGATAATGAAAGTTGCCAAATAAAAAAGAGACTCGATTCAATGCCATGTGGATGGCAACGAAATCGAGTTTCTTTTGAAAAAAAAGACATATAAATTCCAAGTTTCTTGTCTTTGCCTCGCATTGATTTCTATGTATTTCGTTTGAAATTTATTTGAATTTAGTTTTTGCCCAATTTTTCGCATTTATGTATTTGTGTCTGATCTTGCGAATCAGAAAACAAGACCAGTTGGGACCATTTCTAACCAGTTTTTTGGCTGAGAAGATTAGTTCTCGATTTCGTCTCGCTACCTAGCAACCTAATCTTGTTTGTTTGGGGCCGCTTTGTGCAAAAAATAATAATCGAATCCGCTTGGAATATATAATTTCATTTATAATGAGAGTTTGCTTGCCGTAATCTCAACAAAAAAGCTCATAACATTTAAAGTAAACCTTTTCTTTTTAAAATTTTCTAAATATAATAATGCTTGACGTATAGGTGTTACATTCTAGCCAAATATTTGAGAAGTTCATACATGTTCAGGCATACTGGGCGTATACTTGATGAGTAAACCATGGTTATCATCCTAGTAAATGAGAATCAAAACTGGTTGGTTCAACCACATTCAGAAAGACTTCTTTGGTTTCACTTGTCATGTGTCCCAATGTCTTTTTGGATCATATCTGATGACGCACTGCGTCATCTGTCATGCATAAATGCGTGAGATAAGCTACTGCCTTTGCTCAGAGCTCGCGGATTGGTCGGAATTCAGGGCTCGTCCGGTTGTTATTCTCGCCATAATGATAAAAATACGAATATACAGATGCAGAATATAAATACACAGAAAGAAATATGGACATTTACTAAGATTTGTGCCAAAAAGATCACCCAAGATGAAAAATTGATGTGATGTATTTATTTGAAAAAAAATTTGAATTTTTAAATTTCTAAAATTTTTTTGTTAACTTTAATAGAATTTTTTTGTATTATTTGAAGTGTGAAATCCTTATAAAGTTAGTCATCTTTAGAGATTTCAAACCACTTTAAAGTGCGCCTAAAAGTATGCTGTACAAAATACAAGTTCATCTTCCTGCTTTGTAGTGTACTTTGCAACACCTTTTTTCAAATTTTTCAACACTGGATATTTTTTGATCTAAAATAATCTTAATTCTTGCTGTGTATGGCTATATTGCATGCTGGTTATATAACAAAAGCCAAGAGCGGCAAGTGGAGAGCAGCACACGCGCAGCCAGACTGCGAAAAGTTTTGTAAAAGAGCCCAAAGAGTGGCGTCGGGCAAAGAGCGTGATTATATATACAAGCAAGTATACAAATTTACGCAACTGGTGAACAGGTGCCCCTACCACTACCCGTACTCTAGCCCCTGGAGATCTCGATGGCGGTGCTTCGGCGTCTATGTATAGCATTCAAATTGGACACTAGTGTCCCACGATCCGACGGTTTGACGGATTGATCGACTGACTCTGCTAGCTGGCAAATTTTTTATGGTGCCTTGGTGTTCGTTTTTCTGTGGGTTCGGGTTTTTTTTACATATTCTATTTTTTTTTTGGGGTATAATTCGAGTGCCGGGCAGCCACGCGCAAGTAATATTGTTACTCCGGCAAAATGTTGGGCGTGTGTGAGTAACTTTTTAGCATTCATTTTGATGGCGGGAGATTTGCAAGAACATAATGATGAACTAAATGGTTCTTACTATACTAAGATCATCTAAGTAAAAGTCAAAGGCATCGAAGAATTTCTCATTGTAGTTTAAGATGCTGTTCATAGTGACAGTAGAATATAGAAACAAATATCACTATTTAATTTGTTTTCTTCACAATAAAACTTTTGATAAAAACAATCTATAGATTGCTCAAAAATACAAATATTATTTGTATTTTATTATATTTAACATTCAAACTTTAACAATATTGTCTAACGATATATCATATCAGTACTCTGGCAAAATATTAGTTTATTTTGTGTACTGAACCTTTAAATTTACTACTGCATCTACTACTTCTTTTACTAAATCTACTACTACTACTAATTCTACTACTACTTCTATTATTTCCACTTCTACTAAAAATAAAAAATAAAAAATGTAAGATATTATATTTCTTAGTTAATGTACGAATATATATATTATATTTATTATGAATTAGTCATCATTTCGGTTAATTTGCCCTGTACTCCCTTTTAATACCCTAGAAGTCTCAGATGCCGGCAACAAAAGCCGGCCAAAAACTAAAAGCCTTATAGCAGATAGCACACCTACAAACAGACCCGTATATTTGAGCATAAAAACAAATATTGGTATGTATACTTCTGGCAAATTCTTGGTGTTCCTTTTAGACTTTTAGACTTGGAGAGCCACACGTGCCGCTGACTTGCCCATAAATATCATCCAATAACATAAGTATCACCCATTGGAACTTACTCCTTTTCGGGGCTTGTTTCAAGCACGCGACTTAGTCACGAGTTGAGCCCCAAAGAATGATCGTTAAAAAGATCGTAAAAAGTTAAGATTGTGGCGGTATTATTGTTATTATTATTGTTTTTATCTACTGCTTCTATAATATAGTTATTTATTTTTTTGGTAGCCGTCCCCAACCTTGAAAACGGGTAAGCAATATTTTCGGGGGGGGGGGGGGGGGGGGGGGGGGTATGCATTAGCAAAAAAGAAATGAAATCAATTAGAGAGATAGTCGGGGCAGCTGGTAAACAGCAGAAACTCAGTTTTTTTCCCCGAATCGTAACTCTTCGTTTCGTTTGCACTGCGCTATTTTTGAATGCCAAAGATCGACAGTGAAAATTCTAATGGGGCCTGGGACCTTGAGCGGTAAAAAATCTGTTCGAAGATGCGGACAAGAAAATAAAGAAAGCCCGCGTAAGCAGATAAATCTCTTGCCTACGCCCACGATATTTGAGCATCATAAATATTGGAATACATATGTGTGTGCTTTCTCATAAATGTGTTTTGACCAAAAACTGAAAGGAAAAAGTATTAAGGGATTTTTTTCCAGATCTCTGGATTTTTTAGGATTTTAAGAAATTAATTGAATTACAAATTACTTTAAAGACAGCTGAAAATGTTTTAATAAAAATTTATACGCAAACTACTTAAGAGTTAAATAGTTATAAACAAGATCTTAACTTAATGGTAACCATAACCGTTGAGAATAACCATAATAACAATAGTCTTATTTTATATCAAGGAAAGACTAAATTATCCCGCTTAACGAAAGGCATACAAAGTAACCAAGTAGTTTTAGGGATTATTTGATATCACATAACAAACCCCATAAGAGCGTATTAAGAACATCTAAATTCAACACATTTGTATGGTAAAGACAAATAACTGCCTAATAAATGCCGGAATAAATTCGCAATCCATAACAGCCGGTCTCAGAGAAAAGCAAATAAATCACAGAAATCGCCTGAGCAATTACCGCCGCTTGACATCCGTATTCATATCCGAAGATGACTTGCGAATCCGTAATCACAGCGGATGACTAAATGCCTTATCACTGTTGTTTTGCCCGTGAGTGATTATTCGGGGGATGGGAAAGTAGTGGGTATTATCTGTGTGGCGATAAAACCGCATTCATCAACCTAACTAACCGATCACGATCATGTGCTCCTGTATCTGCTCCCTTAACCGTATGTACCTATATCTTTTCCTGGTATTTGGTGGTACGGCTTGGAGGGTTTCTATTCTTATGACAGCCAAAGCCCCGGAAACGTGTATCTTGTGATCGTACGAGGGAGTGGCAGTTAGAGGAGCAGCGAGGTGATAACTGATAACTTAAAGAACTGCTCAGAGGTATTTTTTCGGGGGGCGTGTGCCGGTCACTGACGTCAATGGATCGATAAGCCCCCTAGAGATATGATGCCTGACAGAGAGCTTACTACTACAAATACTTACTACTGCAAATACCATTTTTGATGAAGGTTCTGTCTTTGAAAACTAGCTATGGTCGAAATTAAAAGTTTTCCTGTGTTTAAAAACTTTCCATTTGGTTCAAATAACAAGAATGTAAGTCCTATGGTAAGGCCTCAACAATATTATGTTACTGTTATTACTATTATAATATAACTATGCATTATATTTTAATTATATTATATTTATTTTTTAAAACATTAAAAAATTTAAGTA